GCACTCCAGTCTGGGCGACAAAGTGAGACTCCAACTCAAAAAAAAAAAAAAAGAAAGAAAGAAATTAGTCGGGCGTGGTAGCGTGCACCTGTAGTTCCAGCTACTTGGAAGGCTGAGGAGGAAGAATTACTGGAGCCCAGCAGGTCGACGCGGGGCTGGCCGTGAGCATGCCACTGTACTCCAGCCTGGGCAACAGAGTGAGACTCCAATTCAAAAATAAAAAAAGTACAGCCGGGCTCGGTGGCTCAGTCTGTAATCTCAGCACTTTGGGAGGCTGAGGTGAGTGGATTGCCTGAGACCGCGGGTTCGAGACCCGCCTGGGCAACTTGGCGAGACCTCATCTCTACAATAAATTAAAAATTAGCCGGGTGTGGTAGTGCGCGCCTGTAGTTCCAGTTACTTGGAAGGCTGAGGCGGAAGAATCACTGGAACCCAGCAGGTCGAGGTTGCAGTGGCCGGCAGCGGCCACTGCAGTCCAGTCTGGGCGACAGAGTGAGACTCCAACTCAAATAAATCAATAAATAAAGTAAAAATAAAATAAAAATGAGGTTAGGATCCAAGGAACAACATAGGAGAGCCAGGATGGAGGAAAGTGACAGTCCTCAGGGGAGCTGGGTCCCTTCAGTCCCTGAAGTTTTAGGCAGTGACTACAAGTGCATTCAGATAAGAGGGACTATGAATGGTTATCAGAACCAGGGTGTTTTATTTGCAGGAGAGAAGACTGGTGGGACTGGGGGTAAAGGCCCTCTAGCCCTGCCTGGGTTGGGCTTTTGGGATTTGGATATGCTTAGAAATTTCCAAGTGAGGGGCACCTGATTCTGTGTGTTCTCAGAGGACAGAGCTATGACTGAGGGAAACAAATGACCAGCTTCATGGACAAGGCTCATTTCCACAATCAGAATTTCTTCCAAACCGTGGACGGCTCCCAGAGGCAGTAGGCTCCCTGATACGAGGGGTGTGCAAGCAGTGATTGAATGACTGAGGTGGGGGTTGAAATATGGGATGGAGGGTTGGAAATTACAACTCTAAATTGACTTTCTTGGATTCCAGACTCCTGAAAGAAGAAAAGGTGCCGTGGGCAGCATGCAAGGAACGCCAGACTGTGGTTCAGCATCTGTCTGAGAGATCAGTTGCAGTAGAGCCTGGAGGTGCAGCCCATTCCTCAGGTCATCACGCACCTCTCAGCCCCAGGCCACTGATTTCCCCGCTGGGAGGACGCCTGGCTCACCTAGCCCAGTGATGCAAGTATCCCGAGCCTGTCTCCCGCAAGGGGGCAGAGTAGGACCGTGGACAGAGTCGTGTTGCCGCAGGTGGGCTGAGGACCAGGCACCGCGCCCTCCCTCAGGAAGCCTTTCCAGCCTCCCAGGACTTTCATCGCCACACTTCTCAAAAACCCCTTCCCCACCTCCCCCACCTATA